ACACACTGAGAGGATGCCATGTAAAGATTAAGGTCTGAGGTCAGGGTGATGTTTCTTTCTTTCTCTTTTTTTTTGGAAGAGGTTTTTGCTATAGGGTGCGTGTGCTCACCAGAAAGACAGAGATAGAGAGACAGAAAGGGAGAAATCATCCCCTAGGGGGATGGCCACGCCGCAATCTCTTCTCCTCCATTCTCTTCTCGGGATCTTGGGCACACACGCACACGCGCCCGACGTGAGTTTAAGCCACTGAGTCTGGGACTCAAACTGCGGTTGACTACGTGGGAGTCCAGCGACATAGCCATTACGCTAACTGCTGGTCCTGAAGTCAGGGTGATGTTTCTACAAGCCAGGGAACAACAAAGGTTCCCAGCAAGTCACCAGGAGCTGGGGAAAGGCCTGAAACAGATTCTCCCCGATAGCCTCGGACAGAACCAACCAACCCTGCTCACAGACACCTTGATCTCTGACTGGTGACCTCTACAACTGGGGGACAATAAGCTTCCGCTGTTTGAGTGGTTCAGGGTGGTACTTTGTTAAGGCCACCTGAGCACACAACCCACACAAGAGCTAAAGTCACTTGAGTTCTGCGTTGGAATTCAAAACAATTCTCAAGCTTATTATCCAAAACAGCTAGAAGGGACTGGGGGGTGGAACAGCGGTAAAGTGACACCTGCAAGGCTGACCCTCATAGGAGGGTTCTAGGTGGATATCTGAGATCTCCCTGAGTCCATTATCTGGGGCACACTGGCTGGAGCACGAGGTTTGGGGACCTGGGGGGACATGATGGGACTACAGCATGAAGACACTGTTGGAAGAAACAGTCTCTTTTCTGTTTCTCTCACTACTCTTGGAAGAAATAAACAAACAGACGAACAAAACACAGGTATAGAGGAACATCCTAACAAACCTAGAAAAGAGCCTATCAGAAAACAGAGGCACACGTCTCCTGAGCGCAGAATTTAGCATTCCACGCGGACATGAACGACGCTTGGGCAGTGTCTTCAGATGCCTTGTTTCCCCTGCAGTTTCCAGACACCTGCAGCTTGGTTCAAAGCGCTCCTCGCCAAGCACACCTGCAAGTACTAGCAATAACCGCCCATCTAGAATCATCACCATCTCCTTCAGCATGCTAAGTGCCAGCTCCGTGAAAGCCAAGCTCTTCCCAGGTGCCCCTCCCAGCACCCCTGCAAGGGGCTGACAGGTGAGTCTCAGATCATGTCAGTTCAGCATTTTTTGGTCCTGCCTAATAAATCACTTTCTTCCACCTCCACCTTCCCTAATTCACATCAACAAGTGGCTCAATGGCTTAGAATTGGACTGGATGGCTTAGAATTGGACCATCACAACACAGAAGTAATGGACAACCACTTGGTATTTAGTAGCTTTAGTGCAATTTCACACATGGGAAAATCCTGAAGAAAAATCAAACCTTTCAAATGAAGAAATGAAGTGCCCAGGAAAAAGAAAGTGACTTGTTCTCAGAGTGTTGGCATGGAAGAAGCAGACTAGAACCTAATCTGTCACCACACTCTGCATCCAGCGACCTTTATGGAGGTGAAATCTAAGTACCCACATGGGCAGAAGTAGTGTATATATATTTTTTTCTTCAGTCAACTGGAGTAAAGGAACTGGAGGTGACAGAATAGGATCAGAAGTATCCCTTTGGAAATTATTTTCATTACAAAGGCTCTGGTTCGTCTGCATTTTTATGCCTATAATAAAAATCAAATGAAGTCATTAAGCTAAGGCCAGCTCAGAACGCCTCTTGCCTGAGTATGCATTCCTTTTGCAACCCCCAGAGCTTTGCTATAATCCTTCAAATTATTAAATAATTACCGCGTTTCCCTTGGGGTCACATTTGGCAACAAAATACTGGTCAACGTGAAACTAAGAATATGACCCAGCGAATTCCACTTAGGTTCTTAACTTCCTAGAAGCAAAACGATAGGAAAAGCTTCCGAGGCACCCAGTGGAGGGGCAAACGAAGGGTATTCCATGTGGCTTGGAGGATGAGGGGAGCAGAAGGACAAAGGAACATGACAATCTAGGAAATATGTCAATAATCAGTGTCATTTGTCCCCCAGCAAACCTGGACATCAGCAATTTTCCACTCCAGTCGCCGTTCTCTTCCATTTTGGGAGTGGCTA